ATTTTTTTTTTTTTTTTGCGGAACTGCAATTTTAGTATAATATTGACATCTTTTTTTTTTTAAGCACCATAAGTATAAGTTTCGGAATATTTTGGATAGTTGTCTTATTCTTCTAAAAGAAATATGAACTTTGAACATTTTTAAACCACCTTTCTTCATGCCGCCTTCTAGCCGAATTACAAGTTTCAGACTATCACATATTTCGTGAATGATTCACGTTTGTTCAGAAGCAGATAAAGAAATATTTTCGAAGCCGAGTGTGAAGTTGCTCCGCAAGAACTTTGTCTAGATCTAGTATATGATAGATTATCCGCAGTAATATGCTGATATAAATTCAACAATAGAGTCCGTTGTCTATCTAATTTGCGTCTATGCTTAAACAGTCAGTCACAGCTGGCGTTTCGGCAATGTTAACGTATGTATCTCAGTGATGTATTCATTAATTAATCACTGTTTAATTTTATTTCTATTCTTATATGCGTTCAATTATCCTTCGAAAGATATGAAAACAATGTACTCGCTTTCTGGAACCTGCTCCAGAAGCGAGTTTTAAGGCGCGAGGGGAATAAAGGCTCCAACATTTTCGCATGAATACACGAACTGTTTGTGTATGACGTATTTCGTGTTCGGGCGTTTTCGCCATGCTCGACTATCTTCGGTGCTCCGGCCGTTACTCGTGCACGCGTGACGTGAAGTTTGCTCGGATCGGTCAGTTTGTCAGTCTCACTCCTACGCGTAGGATAGGTTAGTCTCGCGTACCCGCGTTTCTCTGCCACTCGCGGAGGCGCCTCTACGTGCGTGAAAATTTGCATTTGTAAATACATATATATACGTACTGCGCGTATATATACACATACACACATCTACATAGTCCGCGACGTAATTTTCCCGCCAAGCGTGTAAGTCTCTCTTCAATGTTTTCGAGTCATAAAGATTTAAAAAATTCCAGACATTTTATGCGGGGAGAGAAAAAAGTGTTGAGTGAAACATAATTTTCTAAAGATCAGAGATCTCTATAGAGAGAGAGAGAAGCGCATTTATATTTTCTTCTTTTATTTATCGGTTAACGAACACATCGGCGCGCGAAAGTGCATCGATGAAAGCCAAGTCGCGAGTTTGACAGTTCTCAACGTGTTGCGTCAGCCGCTCTCTCAACGTGCCTTGTAGTTGTGCACGTATGCATGCTTTGTTCTACGAGAGACACCACATATATACTTCTCTGTGATATACGACTGTTTTCTCTGACCTCCTCTGCATTTCCATGAGTGAAGTAGCGTAAGTAGTCGTATGCATTTTTGTACTTGTTGGGAACGAATCGCGAGATCATTACGCGCCGTTTTCCCGCCGAGTTCCTGTTTCATTACACTTCGTTTTGCGTGAGAAAGATATTCTATATTATGGTTCGTTTATCTCGCGCGGGGTAACACATAAGATTTTTTCTAAATTCACACACGCGATTCTAATACATCGGCTTGAGAGAATACTGCGAATTATTTCGACGAACTATTTTTAATAATATTCTTCGTTTGTCTCATTTGGAGAATATATTAACGTCGTGTTAGTTTAATGAACCTCGCGGCGCGAAATTGATAATTTTTTTTTAGCTATCTTTGTTTTGATATCTTTGCATTCTCGTCGAAGAAATTTTCGGATACCGTCGAGAATGTTCGAATCTTTCATTCTTCCTGCGACAAGAGGGTCGATCAATTCGAGTGATAAATCACGATAATATTCTAAAATAAGACAGTTCTGGAAGACATTGTTCAATATAAAAATTTAAAAAATAAATTGTTTAATATATCTATTATATTTCGCAATGAACGGATGGGGGAGAGAGACACTAAAGTTTAAAAATTATTTAATTGCATGTATATTGATATATATTTTATCGATTTATGAGATATATATTTTGTTTCTCATTTTTTAAATCATAATTTCAAACTCTTATTTTTTACGATAATATATCATTGTGTGTATGTTTCGGCTTTCATTATCATTTATTGTAAAGTTTTTTTTTTTTTTTTTTTTTTTTTTTAAGTTGAGATGTTATCACTGACGACTCGAACATTCTCGACGGTATACCAAGATTCCTTCGAGAATAAACGCGAATGCAAAAATATCGAAACGAAAATAGCTGAAAAAAATTATCAATTCCGCGCCGCGAAGTTCATTAAACTAACACGACGTTCAATTAAGTTATCGAAATTATACAAATCATACAAGATCACCGATAATGTGTGCCGAAGTAATTTTTATTATTATAACAAAAAATTAATTTTGCGACGCATATTCTTGCGAGAAAAGATTTTCTAATATTACATCAGAATGCATTGCTGAAACCTTGTCGCACATTCGTGTGTGCCATATAATAGAACCTTGGAACAAGATTGCATTATATTATATCGAGTGCACAAATTACCCTAATAATATTAAATTTTTATCGTACGTTTCGGAAGAAATAATCAAAATAATTCTTTAACAATAATTTCGATTTATTTGTATAAGAATTGTGACGAAATTTCGTGTGTTTCGATTTTTTGATCAGTGATCTGGAAACAATTAATTAAGCAATCAGCGTTTAACCTGGCAATACTTCGATTAAAAGGAAATTGATATTTAATTGGATGAATACGCGATTTGTATATAAAGAAACCGTGATGTTCAGAGCATTCTCTCTTTTTCTCTCATTCTAACAAATTAAAAACATTTTTCTCTTTCGTTTTTAATCAACAGTTATCGCATGTCGACGCGATATCGGAGAAAAGATAAAAATGCGGATACGTGTAGCTTACATTAAACAATCTTATATTTGACAAAGAAATATTTCAACAAAATTTGTTTTCGACATTTCACTCTTGTTTACATCGCTTAAATTCGCTGCTTTGCTTTTATCTCACGTTCGAATGTGTTTATTTTAAAAAAAATAATTATTTCATTGTCTCTCTCATTCGGTTCGCGATCAAGAGTCAATGCGTGACCATGAAACCACAATCGATGATTCTGACGCAAATATATTTTCGGCGATAATATACATATTCCTTCGACAGAGAAAGCTTCGCCGTGACGTCAGATCACATAAGATTGCCGATAAACATCGAGAATTTCGCTTAATTTAAAAATGATTTGCCTTTAACTTTTGATTTGGGAATTATCTTTTATCTTATATCGACCACCATATATATTAAATTCAATTGCTGATATTTGAATGAATATTAAAATAATTAATATTTAAATAATTAATTAATATTTAATTAATATTTAAATTTAATTGCTGTATTTTTCAGGTACTTACTCGACTTAATCTCGTGTAAATTTTCTTTAAATTTTTAAATCAGAGAAAAGATACAATATCATAATAATAATGTACCTAAGTTGCAGTAAAATTATGGTGTTATATATACCCCAAACTATTTTTATAGAAAAATTTGATTAGATTGTAATGTTCACATGTGTGTATGTATATATATATAGGCATCGACTTTATTATTAGACATATAAAATATCTGATTTAGAAATATTATTACATAGATTCTTCTGGCAAGAGTCATTTGGATATATATTTCGCAATACAATCTTTGTCCTCGCTTTTGAAAGTGTACTTCAACGTTGATCGTGAAGCCGGTTTCTCGTTCCTTCTTTTTCTCGTTTAAATTGTTTTGTATATTTATTCGATTCTTTTGCATTGTTGCGTCTGGAGATGATCACGAGAGTGAAAGAGGAGTCGAGGAACATGCTTCACCAGGATCGCGCATTCTTAAAACTCTCTCTTTCCAATCGGGTCGATGTGCATGAAGAAGCACGTAATATTTTCTTTATGTCGTCTACACGACCAGTCACGTCAAAAGAGAAAAAAAAACTCGGTCGACCTTGCATAATCATAAATCTGTTCACGCGTGACGCACGGTTATTTTAGTGACGTGGGCGTGATCGTGATCGTAAAACGTATCTTTTTGTAATATAAAATCGCCGTGCTTGTGACTTGCATTAATAACGAGAATCATTTAAAGCTCCTGAAATATTTTTATCGGATAGAAATGGAACTTTAAAAAAGTTGGAAGTTAAATGCGATAAAAATTCTAGCTTTACTACTATCTAGCTTTATTTCTCTTGAAGTATCTTATGCTCGTTGAAAGATAATCTACTCCAAATTGGTCATTCAAGTTAAGTTTTAAATCGTATAGAATATGATATCATGTGGAGCTAACAATAATATTTTTCCCAAAATATAAATCTTTTTATTTATCATGGTATCTATGAAATTAACGATATTTTTGTATGGTGTTTTACAGATACAAGGCTAGCCAGCTGCGTCATTCTTGTTTTGTGTGATTCTTCTCTTCAGCTATACTACATCCCTAGCTGTCACGTGTCTTAGTCGAATCGACGGTGTAGTTAGCTGTTGCGATGTCACACATCGCAGGAATGGACACATCGGGCTTGCCTGTACCGGATGCAATCCCGTCCCTCGAACAATTGCAAGAGGACCTAGTCTTGAACCTCGTCCAGGAGGTTAAATTTCAGCCGAATCTCGATGAATTACCTATCACGATGCAGGTAAAAGTCGCCTTTACACCTGAAAATTGACGAAAAAAATATGTAATTATAGTAAAATTTTATCTTCAGTAAAATATTGCAAGAGAACTAAATTCTTGCTATGACAAAATTTAGTTACCATTATTGTTATTTTATATAATGGGAGAAATTTTATAAAAATTATTCAGATTATTAATAGCATTAACAATTAATAATTAATTATGAACACTTATCTATACATGTTACAGGACGAGATAAGTATCGCCGCTCGAGATAAATCCGCTTACATACTAAGATGCCTGAAAGTGATGTACGACTTGTCATCGGATGTATTCTTCATGGCAATTAATCTGATGGATTGTTTCTTGACGAGAGTGAAGGCGAAGCAGAAGTACATGGCTTGCATCAGCGTATCCGCCTTTTACACGGCCGCTGTTCAACAGATGCAACCGCTCGACGCCGATCACGTGGTTTCGATCTCACAGTGTAGATGTACCGCTGACGATTTGAAGCGTATGTCGAAAAAGATACAGGATAAATTAGAGCGGGTACCCGGTACTCGACCCATCACCGCGCTGACCTTTCTACGGCTGTTCAACAATATGTTCCACGCTGTGGCGAGACAATTGCATCTCGGCGACGTGTATGCCAATATCACCAACGTAAGTAATCATCATCATCCTTCCAATTATTTATTAGGTGATAAAAACAAGCGTTACGATCCTCGAGATATTAAATATTAAGTAAAATTCGGCGTACTTATTAAGTCTACGCTGGTTTTATTAAAAAATATGTCTTTATTAAAACCTGAAAATAAACTTTTTTTCTCAATATGTAACTTATGACTGCGCAAAACCTGTTAAATTTCATACTTAAAAGCTGTATTGTTTGTTTTGTTTTAGGAATCCGAATTGATTCTCAGATTAGAAATGGTGGCCTGCGACGGCAATTGCGCGAGCCTTAGACCGTCCGAGGTGGCTTTGATATTACTCTGCAGTTACGTGGATGCCGCTGTTAATCGATTAATGAACGCGAACATGGACGCCACTGTCAATAATCTATCGCACAACGCACCCATTCCGCCGCCATATCAGAGGCTAAGAGATGAACTTATGCAGTTTGCTGCGGAACTTCGAGAGAGATGCAACGTAAATATCAACACTAAATTTTTTTCGTATTTTTAAGTTCATTATTTATCTCTTATGTATGCGTAAGATTATTAATATTTTGAATGTGGTAAACAGTCATTATTCATATGCATCGTAGAGTGCGAAGCTATCTTTTCCTCGATAAAAGATATAAATATCTAAATAGATCGTATGTACAAAAAATAACTCTTGTTTGCTTTTTATTAAAATTAGAATTATTTGAATGAATAAAAGTTCTTGAAGCGAGGTAAAAAGCGAAGTACAAAACAAGATAAGCAAGAACATTTTTGAAAAGACAATCTTGCCTTATATCAAATAATTTATTTATTGATTCTCATTAGTTTGTGTTTTATCAGATTTCAGAGGAGAGTTTCCGCTCCACTCACGGAGCGGTGAGCATCATATTGAGTAAATATAACGCTCAGGAGCAAACAAACAAAACTCATAAACAGAAATTAATTTGGAGATTGTCGCTACGAACCGCAGGTGTTTTACGTCCGTCTCAAAACTTTATATCCGAGCTACCCGTTATCGCGGAACATGTCCCATCAGTTCCATCTCCGAACAAGATCAGGTATGTACTTATTTTTCTAGATTACTATTAAAAGATATTGTACATTATTGTTAGAGAATATGTGGAGAAAATTATTATTATTATTCTTCCTTGAGCAGGAAAAATCGTAAATATCGGCGCCGTGGAAATAAGAGATGTTAATACAGCATCGCCAGTTTTTTTTTAAGGTACGATTTCTTATAAATTATTTATTATTAAATTGATTTCTTTGTATAAATTATTATGAGTCTTCGGTATAAGTTTTATATTATTTTCTTATTTCTCTTTTTTGGATATATTTTCAGGATGCGGCACTAGGAGTTCTCAATATCTGGTAACACAGAAGATTTATTCTCTTCGATACAATCAAAGTTTGGCTGGGAGCACAAATGTCGATTTACACATCACAATACGTAATAATTTTCCTTAGATATTTCGTTTGTGTCGTCCGCTGAGATTATACATACTGGTGGAACGTAAGTTACATTTATCTTGCTAAATAATAGTTACATAGTTTCGCCAATATGTAAGTTATCATTATGGGTCGTACGTTAATCTCTGTTTTTTTATCGCATCGCATATATATATTTCAAAATATTTGTATAAACGGTTTAATATTTTACAAAGAAAACAAGATTTAAGCCCTATTCCAATAGTAAGATCGAATACCAATCGATATTATATAAGGAACTTCATAGAAAAGTGGGGGGAGGGGGCAGATACACACTGTGAAGAGCAGCAGTATCAACATACAAATCATTAAAAAAAAAATTGAAATTAATGTGATACAATGTCCATTACATAATTAGTGTTATCTAGTAGGATCAATACATTGCTAAAATTATATATATCTATAATTATATATATTTACAAAACGCTTTAAACGAAAGAAAAAAGTATAAAAGAAGAGATATAACTAGGAAGAAAAATTGCGGAAGTGTTGAAACTTACGTATAATATAAAACTATTATTAGAGGAAAAAATATTATATTAATTTGATATGATCAACAAGAGAATTGCCGAACGCGCTAAAATTTATGTTTATCGAGTTTAGCAAAAGAAAAAAATATTTTACTGAATTTAGTTTTGTGTTTCGAAATATTCTGTGTCTCGAAATATTCGCTTCTCTTTCATCGTCATCCGCATTGAGCGAATCAAATAGTCGATAAAGTGTACATAGATTACACTGAACATATTTCTTGATGTTTTTATTCAGCGATATTTCAAGATACGCGGAATATATCTATAAACCAAAGTGTCTGAGATGAATTTTGTTGCCAATTTTAATGTGGAAGATAAAAAGACATGATTTATATGTGTATTTTAAAAATAATTTGTATTGTCTTATTTTATAAAAGCTGTATTTTAATTGACATTGTATAACAATCTGCTGAAAAATATGTCCAGACATGACCATTTTTCAATTCCATAAAAAATTATATCTCATTCACATTACTTGGAATTAACTCGTATTCGTTTTAAATTACTTCCACAGTAATAATAGAAAGTCTTGTTTCTGATCTGTTAATTTTTACGATTATATATGTATTGTCTAATTCATCGCGACAATTTTATTTAGAAAGCGTCAAGAAAACGCAATAGAAAAATACTCTGTGGTTGATCTATCACAGTTTCTCTTATCAGTTTAGAAATGATTCTTACTTTACCAAAATGTGAGAGAATAGAGAGATATAATATGAAAGCAAACGCAAATGATGCGTCATAACTCGAGCGAATAGCTTTATTCGGCAAGAATATGTTAAATTTTCTATGTACTAAACAAACTATGTATATTTTTTTATTTTTATTTCCTGTAGATTCTCATATTATGCATCAAAATAGTATATAATCATTATTTGCAATTCACTCATACAACTTGGGGAACTTTTCCGCGAATTGTACGTAAAGAAAAAAAAAAAGGAAAAAAGAAGCAGAAATGCTGATTCATATAGTTTCTCTAATCTTAGCCAGTTTATGCTAGTCATAAGTTCATACCTTCTGATTATGATTTGTGAAAATACATTCTCTTAGTGCCTCATGGCATCCCACATCAAAATACACCGAGCAAATTTTATTCCAATCTCTGTTTCTGTGATGACCAGGCACCATGAAAGTATTCGGAAAATATTTAATCACCGACGTTCTTACTGGAAGCGAAAGCTGAAATATCCTACAAGTACGTAAGTGTAAGGTGATTATTTATAGATTTGAGACTGCGAGAACGAGAAGTCTGACATCATAATACTAAACTCTTTTTCGATTTGTAATACAGTGTTACATATGAAGAGTTCTTTTTATGGACATATTTTTCTATTTGTCATATACATATATCTATTTATTTTACATTAATCAAATTATACCATTATAACATAGAAGTACAAAAATGCTTATATTTCAAAAAGTCTATTTTCTTTTTTCTCGTCAGTATTATATGTTATAAATTTGTTATCTGGATATAATTAATATTGCGTGTTTTTTGGAGAATGTCCTTTTACAGAATGGTATATATAAGAAGTCAAACGGTGCATTTGCATTTTACATATTATATAAACGCGAAATTTATTATCTTTTTAAAAATATATAAATAATTTTGTTTTTATATATTTCTTAACGATTTATTTTTCTCTTTATATGATTGTTATATGCATACGCATGAGATGGACACAATATTCAACTGTAATGTTACCATTAATCATTATCGCATCGTTATCGATATTCATTAAATATTAAATGATAATCGTTTTTGATTATACGAAATATCATATGTGTCACAAAATATCACTCTCATTGTAAAATCATTGCGTAGAAGCGCAAATACAGGCGTTTTTACCCGTATCATATCTTTGATGTATGTAGATTGTATAAAAAAAACTCTGTAACCAACGATAAATTCCAAAAAGCAAAAATTCTAAAAAGTGATTTATATTTGAGTACAATTTTAGCTTTTAATATCTTTTACAAATACTCGATTTGAAATGTGTATATATCTATCTATGATAAGTAAAATAATAAGTTATTTTTTTAGGATTTTTCCCCAAATTTTTTCTTTTGCGATTGAACTAGGGACTCAAAAGATAATCATCTCAAAGAGAATCGTTTATAATGAGATATATATTGTATTTAAAAAAAAGGGAAAAGAGAAAGTTATCTTTTGCGTATGAACTGTTAATATTATTCTATCATGACGAAAATCGAATTTGTAAAATGCATACAAGACCCGTTTATAATAAAATTATATAAAAATATTTATAAGGTATATATTTAATTAATATATAACAGCAATATTCGTCTCGCGCGAGATGAAATTTTTTAAAAAGATAAGAAATATATTACAAATTCACGTATCTTGCTAAATTATTATTTTCCAAGCGCGATGAGAATTATTCTGAATGAAGTTTTGAATATATTTCTCGATTAATTATATTTTTAAAGCTATATTAAAAGAATAGATTACTTTCAATGAATTTTTAAGTTAAATATTGCTTAGAGCATAGATATAATGGAATAAGACAAGGCACAATATCGTGCATAATGACAGCTATCGATAGTAATAATAATTCCTATCGTGCTTTCCGATTGGTGGTTAGTAGCAGCCATATTGTTTTCCAGCATTCCTGGGTAATTTTCGGATTGACCGTTTTTTTCACTGGAGGGTAATCTTATAATTTTTTATCTATGGGTATATAATTGCCGCCATTTTGTGAGGTGTGGGTTCTCTTCCTGGCAACCAGTCAACCGGTGAACTAGTATATGGTGGACGTATATGTGTTGCGGAGTATTCACTGCCGGCAACTTTTGATTATTTCGAGGAAGAAGTAATTAAAATTTTAAAACGTTGTGACGTAAGTCATGGCGGAATATCTAGCGTCTATCTTCGGAACTGAGAAAGACAAGTAAGGAGATTGTTCGAATAAAGTTTACAAGTTGTGCGTGTGTCTGAGAGAGAAAGAGAAACAAACGAGAGCAAACTTTGCTAACCTGTTTTTTTCTTTTTTCAGAGTAAATTGCTCTTTTTACTTCAAAATCGGCGCCTGCCGTCACGGTGACAGATGCTCGCGTATTCACAACAAGCCCACATTCAGCCAGGTGTGTAGATCATTAAATATAATTAGTATTATTTAACTTCTTAACTTAGAGTTAATTCTAACCTATATATGTATACGTATTAGTAGTTATTGAACTTTTAACTAATTTTTTATGTGTTATTTCTCCGCACTAATATTTTTAAGAATGTCTCTTTAATATTAATATTTAAATTAATTGTATTTTTTTTTTTTTTTTTTTAGACATGTTTGCTTCAAAATTTGTATGTAAATCCTCAAAATTCTGCCAAGAGCGCGGATGGCTCCCATTGTAAGTTAATTACAATTCTACAAATATAACTCAATTTTATTATCGATTTTTGTACAAGTCTTTATATTATATTAAACTCTCTTTAAATTGAATAAGGAAATTATTTCATTAATTTTTTTCCAGTGGTTGCAAATGTGTCAGATGAAGAAATGCAAGAACATTATGACAACTTTTTTGAAGATGTTTTTGTTGAATGTGAAGACAAGTATGGCGAGATTGAAGAAATGAACGTGTGTGACAATCTTGGTGATCACTTAGTGGGCAATGTTTATATCAAGTTCCGCAGAGAAGAAGATGCAGAAAGGGCTGTAAACGACTTGAACAATCGCTGGTTTGGCGGTAGACCTGTTTATGCTGAACTTTCTCCGGTGACGGATTTCAGAGAAGCTTGTTGTCGTCAATATGAAATGGGGTACATATATAAAACACATATATAAATCTCTTACCTATACAAACTTTTATGACAAAGAATAAAATTGAATATCTTTCTTTCATTCTTTCAGAGAATGTACGCGATCTGGATTTTGCAACTTTATGCATTTGAAGCCTATCTCGCGCGAGCTGCGTCGCTATCTGTATAGTCGTAAGAAGAGCGGCAGGGGACGATCTAGATCACGATCACGATCGCGCGGCCGAGATCGTAAGCGCAGATCGCGATCGCGCGACAGACGATCGAGATCCAAGGATCGCCGGAAGCGAGACGACAAAGGTAGGGACGGTCGATCTGGAAGATACTAATTGTAGAAAATTATATTTATACGAATATTCATTCCGAACATACTGATGTCCTGATTTAACGGAGAGACCGGATGTTAATAACGCTGTCTTCTTGTGTGTGCCGGACAAAATATTTTTGTCCTATTGATATATTTATATATATATATATATATATACACACACGCGTAATCTCGATACTAGAATTAGTATTCTTCAGTGCTGTGTAATGAACTTCTTGTTAGTTAATTAAGCAATCCCGAAATGATTAACGAATACAGTTCCCTTTGTGCGATAATGACAGAAACAAATAAAATATAAGCATAGAAATATATATATATATTTCGTGTTTTGCTATATTTTCATATATAAATTATCGAACTTAAATATATCGTGAAAAAACAATACACAGAGTTATATATTTATAAATTTAACGAAAAATGTACATACATATACATATATAAACACGGTTGTGTATACATATATATATATGTATGTATATTGAATATATTATGAGTGATCTTTGGCGAAAAACATTGTTATAATCGCACACATCGTTACTGAATTTTTTTCTAGAGAATAAGTAACAATTAACATTTCGTCCGTGTCAAGTAGTTATCCAAATTTTTATCTTAAACTTAAGCCGCACATTTTGGAGCAATTATTACATTTACTTCAGTTTTTTCATTAATATTTACTAATCAAACGTAGACTGCACGATATATAAAAATATAATACATTAAAACGTAGTTGCTTATATCACAAAGAAGAAAATAGAAAAAGGAGAGAAAAGTATAATATATAGTTATATATTATATAGAAGTATAATATATAATGAAATGTCAAAAGGAACAAATAAATAGAAATGATAGTTTATTGGTAGAATAGATTTATATCAAATGCTAAATAACTTAAAAAATCAATTCTTTTTTTTTTTTTTTATAAAAAAATGATTATACAAGAGAATATAAACAGATTATTATTATAAGAATCATA